CATTTCTCACTTCCAAGTCAGAACACCCACATTCTCTCTCAAGTATCAAAGATTTCTTCCAAATCTTCCAAAATGTAAGTGTTTCTTCCCTTGATTTGTGATACAACACTTCATTAGAGTTATACATGATTTCATCCATGAAATCTTCTTTTTCATAGATCTTCAAGTGTTCTTCATTTCACCAAGAACACCAAGAACTCACACTAGTGTTTTGGACTTTAAACACTTTACAAGCTTCCTTAAGTAAGTACACCCCTCTTAATCTTTTATGTACTTAGATTACTTGTTAAACATTGAAAAAACACAAGAATATGCCCAAGAACACATGGGTTTACAGCCAAGGCAATCTCCTTGGACCGTAAACACCATTAGGTGGTGCATATGTGCCACATTACTTCCTAGGCTTGGATATTTGACTAGCCCTTTCATGCATGAGCTAGGACCTTAAACCAAAATGATAGGAGTTACCATGGGTTTACGGCCGTAAACCCACTAGGGCCATAAACCCCAGGCCGTAAACTCCATGGGAGTTGGTCCTTGGACCGTAAACTTTAAGAAGTGGTGCACTTGTGCCACTATTACTTCCTAAGGCTTGGATTTGATCATAGGATACTAAACCTGACTTATAAGACTTTAAACACAAAATGGTAATCTACCATGAGTACGACCGTAAACCATGGGGAAAATGACATGGGCCGTACCACTCAAGTGTTTATAACCATTGTGGCCATAAACTCAATGTGAGGCCATTCCCCCCCCCCCCTTTGATGCAACCCTATGACCTTCTAACACTTAATCAAAGTGTTATCCATGTTCTAGGGTGTCTTTACTGATTAATTAGTTATTAATTGGCTAATTGGATACATATATGTGTCATTATATGTTAAATAGGATCCGTGTGTGCTCAAGTCTTCACTTGACACTTAGCATCCTATACCATCCTTTCATCCAAACCACTCACTACAGGTGAGTTCATACCCCTTAATCAACCTTTGAAATGATTTTAAATGCTTTATGGGGGGGGGGGATACAAGTTGAAACTTTCTAGTTATTATACTTAATCACATGTGATTAATAACTAGAACAAACAGAAGGAATTCCTATTACTTTCAAACTTTTATCAAAATTATGGATTTAAACACTTCAAACATTTTTAAACTCTTTTACATGCTAAATCCTTTATAAACTCTTTTTAAACTTATATTATTGTCAAACTCATATCTATACAGATATATATATAAGTAGGGTTGAAGGACTTAGGACTGATAGCTCACTTTATTTCCTGTTCCTTGTTTGGTTGTGGAGTTAGAGTATCCTGATATCTGTCCGAATGTCATTGAAACCTTAGTTATATATATCTATATATGTGTTTGGATATAAAAGCTTCTTTTGATTCAGTCCTTTGAGTGGCAAAGGCATACAAACAACCTACTAGTTAACTATAATAGGTATAGTTAAGAGATTACTACTCACTATTACTATCATAATGACTTATACAAGAGTCAGTACTTTACGATCACTACATACGTATTACATTGAGGAACAATACATACTATACACTATACAAGAAGAACAACTATACACTATACAAGAGAACCTAACTATACACTGTACAAGGGAATATACTATACTAGTACAAGAGAAAACATCACTACACTATGGTTTACTATGCAAACATTTAAATACTATAAATAGAATGTGACATACTACTTCTCGATACGACACTTCATTGTGGTATCACCTTGTAACCAGATCTCCTGGAGGGAGAGCGGGCATTGTGTGTATAGATCTATACGGGACAGACACTCCCACACCCGACTGCTAGCTACAGTCCCAGCCGATAAGGCCAAGGGGTGACAGAATGTTACCTCACTACATATGACACCGGAGGGTCATCAGTTATTCAGCCGTCGATCAACATGGTTACATACGAGTTCACATTCAACCTTAATTAACTAACTAAGAATTAAAGGCAAACAGACTCCCCGAGGTGTATTGTACATTTATACTACTTGGAGTCTGCATTTTTCATCACATTTAGCCGGTAGTGATACTGCTGGGTTTAATATAAAACATTATTTTCCCTATTATTACTTTGTATTCATCTCGCATCTGTAAGGTGTTAAACTATATTTTTCATAATAATAGTTTAATGGGGGAAAACTCTTTCAGTTACAAAAGAACAAACATACACATGGTCGGGTCTTGGTAGAAGACTACATTCCAGTAGAAAATATAGGATTTTCTAGGAAGTTCAGACATTCACAACCAACTACGAACATTTACACTACATTGTTACAAACATTTTCATACAAACAATGACATTAAATACTTATGAACTCACCAGCGTTAATGCTGATAAACTCTTTCAAAATAACTTGTATTCTCAGGTCATCAGTAGACAGGTACCGATGAAGCTTTTGAGAAGATGGAGCACATACAAGACTCATCTTTTATTTTGATTCATATTTTGGTGTCTTACAAACTATACAGAACACGCTTGTATTAAAATTATTATATTAATGCAATGGATTGTTGTTGCTTGTCTTTACTATTATGCCTTGTTATGATATTGTACATGAAGTCCTCCACCCCAGGACGTTTCCGTCGTTCCAGTTTTCGGGTGTGACACATATTTCTCTCTCTAGATTTCAAATCTAATATGCTCTTAATTGTAATTTTTAAAATCAAACCCCTACCTCGTTTTTAATTTAATTGTGTAACAATCGTACTTGTACTTCAATATTTTTGGTATAACTCGATAATTTGTATCCTTGCGGACATGAGCCTTTCTTCCATTTATATGAATCTTTTTTCGTGTTTAAGTAGATTCATTTGTAATCATTATAATAATATATACATAAATATATAGCTATCAAAAATGAAAAAAGAAAAAAGAAAAAAGAAAATAGAAAAAACCTATTATGCATCTAGTAAATGCAAGAAAATAATAAATTATATGCAAAAAAATATGTGGATTTACCTTTTTATAATAATATATACATAAATATAAAAGTCCTTAAATTTCGCAGAAATATGTGGATTTCCCTTTTTATGGATTTTAGGTTCACTAAAACTAGATGCTTGCAAAAAAATAGCATTTTTGCAGACCGATAAAACCCGAATATTTCTGCAAAACTTAAGGGTTTTAATGAACCAGAAAACTAAACTTCAGGGCTTTTAATGAACCAGAAAAAAAAATGGTAAAACCGAACATTTATACTAAACGTAAGGGTTTTAATGAACCAGAAATACACAAAAGAGTAAGATTGAAAAAAAAATCAAACATTCGGTTTTAGTGAACCTAGAATCCACAAAATGGTAAATCCGTATATTTCTGCCTACTTAAGGGCTTTTATATCATTATCCCAATACATACACTAGTATAAAATTCATAATATATGTCAAAGATATTTCTTAGACAAAAACATATACGAAATATAGCCGTTCTAAAAATAATAAAAAATAAAGTACTTGGATGTGTCACTATCGTCGCCCCCCTCGTTAGTGTCCCCTTATCATTGTGGGTCGAGGAGGATCGAATCACTTCTGCAAGTCTTGCTCTAGCTTCTTGGTTACTAAAAATAGCATCAAGAGAATCTGACTACAAAATAAATATATGTAGATTAATAAGGTTAGGTTCAATTGAGTAACTGTATATTTACCACCCTCAAGAATCTGTTTTAGACAAGAAAACAATAACACTTTTTGGAATGCATTATTATTGGGCCACAAATTCTTAAATAGATCGAAGCTCCATTGAAATATTCTTCTTGTTGTTATGTCAACTAGAAGTTGAAACTTTTACACTTTTAGACAAGAAAATTAAATATAAATACCTACCAAATGCCAATTTACCAAAATATCTTTAACCTATCATCTCTCACCCTTTTATCAGCTACATATTTTGCTGGGAAGTTTCCTCTCTTCAATCCTTAGATTTTGTCCCCATTTTGAATCCAAAATATGCCTAATGCATCAAAGACCTTTTAGGTCTCAAATTCAATTAAAATCAAACAGAATAGGGACTGATCAAGTAAACCATTAAAACCTCCCAAAAGATGAAATTAAAGAACATGTTACGAGAATAAAGAACCAAATAAGGTGATCAAGGGGTGCAACTTTCATAGAGCTGACAGCTAGTTGTCGATGAGGGTTTAAGTTTTCATTCACAAAAAGACTTGTGCGTTCATCCAGCATTAAATGTAAGTATGCAAGTTGGTTCACTTGAAAAGTCTGTATAAGCATATGAAAAAGTTTTACACATAAGACCTGATCAATATAACAAATAAGAAAACCTGCAAAGTCTTCATGAATGTCTTTGGATGGATATTGTAATTGTTCGGCTGAAAATACTTAAAATCTCAATCAACTTAGTTTTGAAAAAGCTTCATTGAAATATTTTTGTTATTTGTTACGATCAATTAGGTGTTGAATAATTTGCACAATTAGACAACTAAATTAAAAACGAGGGCCTACCAATGAAAAGTCTTGTACTAATAAATAACCCAACTCTTACGTTAAAAAATAAATGGAAGTTTGTGAGTTGGTTTGGTTGAAAAGTTTATATAAAAATCTCACCTAGTTATAGAGACACACAACTAGTAATTAATGCACTAGACACACATCTATATATTTTATTTATCGTTAAGTCAATGAAGTTACAGACTTTGCACAATTAGTGAGACCTCTTAAAATTAAGGACCTACTAGTTGAAAGACTTGCACAACCCATGTTTTGCGTTTAGAAAGAAAAAAAAATATACCACACAATGGTGTCTGAAAGCCACTCCAAGCATATTCTGTAATATTAACACGAGTATATATATCGGAGCATGTTCAAATGTTTATAGCAAATTAGACACAATGACTAATTCAAATGTGTTTATCTTCCTTTCCCTTTTCTTTTTCTTCACTTGTTTTGCTTCTTCCTCTTTTTACAATGCCACTCACAAATGCTCTCCTCAGCAGGCCCTTGATTTACTTCTCTTTAAAGAAAACATGTCCTCCATCAACAACTCGGACGAATATCTTGATTCTAAGTGTAGTTGGCTAGGTTCTCGGTATCATCCAAAGATGATGAACTGGAACAAGAACACAGACTGTCGCAAGTGGGATGGTGTCACTTGTAACCACTACACAGGTGACATTATCGGTATTGACTTGAGTTGTGGCATGATACGAGGTACCATCCACCCAAACACCACCCTCTTTCACCTCCCTCGTCTCCAAACACTCAACCTTGCTTCCAATGATTTCACTGCTTCCCAAATTCCACATGAATTTGGCAGGTCTTCTAATAGTCTCACACATCTCAACCTCTCTGAGTGTTGGTTCTCCGGTGAAGTCTCTGAAGAAATATTATTTCTTCCTAAATTGATCTCTCTTGATCTCTCTTGGAATGATGGATTGCAGATTCAAACTAATGTTTTCAAGAATCTACTTCAGAATTTTACTCATTTGAGAGAGCTCTCAATGGTCGGTGTTGATATAGGTTGGGTATTACCCACTTATCTTAATATCTCGTCTTCTCTACAATCACTTGATCTTAGCAGCACTGGTTTGCAAGGGAAGTTACCTGATAACATATTCAATCTTCAATATCTAGAAAAACTTCACTTGTCAGGGAACATTGAAATCACTGGTCCTTTGCCCAAAGTTAACACGAGGTATAACATCCCTCTCAAGTCGCTAGAACTCTCCATCGCCAACTTATCAGGGGAGATACCCGACTCAATTGGCCATCTCAAGTCCTTGAACTACTTGGATCTCTCTTCTTGTAGTTTGGTGGGGTCCCTTCCCAAATCCCTAGTTAACCTTATGCACCTTACAACTCTTGATTTATCATTTAACAAGCTCAATGGAACGTTGCCTTCTTTGTTGTTTACGCTTCCCTTGCTTGAAAATGTTATTCTTTATGATAACATGTTTAGTGGAGGGTACCATTGGATTTGTTCAACTGTCCATCACTAAAGATATTATCTCTTTGGGGCAATAAATTTGATGGCAATATCAATAGAGGCTCCAATCCACTATCATTTATCCAACTCGCCAACCTCACTTACCTTGATCTCTCAAATAACAATTTCACAGGTTTTTGGGATCTGAATACATTGTTATCAGGCCTACCAAGCCTTCAACATCTCTCTCTCTCTTACAGTGGCTTAATTGTTACGAACAACAATAGTTTCAGCCATGTCAACCCTGTGTTAAGATACTTATATTTGGCATCTTGCAATCTTACTGTGTTTCCAGAGTCTTTACGAGCCATGAAAAATCTCCAAAGATTAGATCTATCTTATAACAACATAAAGGGACGCATTCCTGATTGGGCACAGGAGATCGGAGGAAATCAGTTGTTATTTTTGGATCTGTCAAATAACTTCATAACAGGCTTGCCACACTTTCAATGGGATGGATTAAACTTTCTTTTTCTGGAGTCCAACCAGATTCAAGGGCCATTTCCTCCATCGATTTGCAACATGAGAAATCTAGAGGTGTTGGATATATCCAATAATAGCTTTAGTGGAGTGATTCCACAATGTTTGGGAAATATCAGCTTCCCTCTTAAGAATTTGAATGTCAAGTCAAACCAGATTCAAGGACCATTCCCTTTGTCAATTTGCAACATGAGCCTTCTAAGTTCATTGGATTTGTCCAATAATAGTTTCGATGGAGTACTTCCAGAATGCTTGGGGGAAATATCAGCTCCACTCTAGCTGTGGTAGATATGGGGAACAATAATTTTCATGGCATCATTCCAAATGTGTACGAGGAGTGTGGACAATTACAGGGACTTATTTTGAATGGAAACCAATTACAAGGAGAGATCCCAAGTTCCTTGGTCAACTGTCAATCCCTGATAGCATTAGATCTTGGAAACAACCAATTAAATGGTTCATTTCCAAGATGGTTAGGCAATCTTCCAGAGCTGCAAGTTCTTGTCCTCAAATCAAACAGGTTGCATGGTCCCATTGAAACTCCCTCCATGGTTAAAAATGCATTTCCAAGCATGAAAGTCCTCGTTTTATCTCATAATGAGTTTGCAGGCCTTCTCCCACGAAAGTATTTGCAAAATTTCATTGCCATGAAGAACACGGAA